GATCGCTCGTGGTTAGGCAGCGTTGGACGGGAGGGGGGAAGGGCCATCTGGCGCAGAATCGTTGGCGGGGGAAGTTGGGGGGAACGGCTGCTTTCATCTTTTTAAGAAGGCTCTTCTCTTGGTATCACGCCGTCAGTCATTAATATGAAATCTGCTAGATTTGGGAGTAGGGGATACCGGTGTCTGACGTGCGAGGAGGTCAATGAAATGACTAAGGGCTAGCCGCTCTGCGATGCACAATGCTGAGCTATATGCAAAACTCTTCTTCTTTTCGGTTCGCTGTGATACAGTCACGTTTGACTTCCTCTTTTCGTGGCCATGGCTCCATTCGCGCAATAGCTTCGCTTGCAGTCTGGACTCGATGGATTGTCGCTCCTTAGCCTGTGAGCGACAAAATGCGGCTAAAACGAACTTGTGCGGGGGATGAAAAATAACTCGCTGCCTCACTAGCCGATCGTTTGAGTGTTCCAAGGACCTGGGCCGGAAATACTCTTGTCTTTACTCCGTTTTCCGGAACAAGGAAGAAAGATTCAACAGAGGGATCTTGGTGCTGAAGTCCTCCTAGAAGGGTGATTGCTGTTGTTCTCGTCCAAAGTGCCTCGCGTTCGAGAGTCGGGAGCGGGGACTGATTTGCTTGTGATTGACCTAGATGTTGATGGCCCGTCGACAGCGCCACCGTGATTTCTGGGACGCACCAGCACGTACGGTAGTGGATTTCTCATTCGATTAAATCCGCAGTGTCTATCCCTCCTCCATGCGCATTCCCTTCTCGCGACGAAGATATCCATGTGTTGAGAACTTGACACGATTACCTTGCTTGCAAGGTCTCTTCAATCTTCACAATTCGTAGGAACTTTCTTTTTCGCACCAACGAAAGTGCAAAACTGAACACAATAACGCATTATAAAGAGTAACACCCACTGGACAACTAACGCCGGCCACGCTGGGATATTGTGCAACCACATGGTGCAATGGCGTTGTCGCGCGATCCCCAATTCCATGACCGTCGTTAAGCATATCGATATCCATCATCACTTTATGTTACTTATTATGTAGAGAGATTCCATCCCGGTGAGTGCCACATAGCATAGTCTCATCAATATTTCACTTGATGGTTACTGAATTGCGGGTCTGTTGTTAAAAAAGGGACCAGTTGTGTAAGCATAGTTATGTGAGCAGATGACTAAGCGATTTATTTTTCTTTGGCAGCGTGGGAAATCACGTGCTACAAATTGTACCCCGAAAGAGGCAAATGCCACCTTTTCAGCAAACTCGACATCCTTGTTCCCGATTGTCAAATTTCAAAACCGCATGAATGAAGTACATATTCACCTTGATGGTGTGCATGTGAGCAGGATTTTAAATCATGGAGGCCACCTATGGGTGCATACCGGGTGTAACAATCGGACTGAGCCAAGCACTCGTTCTTTGCGATCGTGCATCACCCATATTAAAGCTGCGGTATAAGCGCTCCCTCCGCCCATCTCTTCATATGGACGTCAGATATTTTCATGTAAATCCTCATTGAAGCAATCTCCTTGATATTAATAACTGGTGATCGCTGCCCGACGTGGCAGAACCCATCACTCTTTTCGCTCGATACGACGTGTATTTGGATGAGTACAAAGAGAGGATTAAAAAAGAGGGACGGAATAATAAAAGGGAGGACCATCCATTATAGACGTTTCCCAGATGATGAATGTCAAAATATTCTGGCCCCAAAATCGTCAATACCATCATAGGTGCTCATCCCCCCCATCTAACGACACGGTATAATTCTCATGGTTGTCACGTCTGGCACCGTAAACCCATATCACAGTTCCAGAGAACTCAAAAGTCGCAATTACCCCTGGTGTAGAGGATGTCACAATAGAGGACTCCGACGTTTTTTTCATTCAATTCGGGACCGAAAAATTTACAAGACCCCCTACAGAGTAACAGGAATATTTGTCAGATCACCATGGTATTGTTGACAGATGTGCTACTGCAGGATGCCTATGCGATTAATCTTATTCGACGTTTGTGACATTAATTCCAATAACTTTTTGGACCTCCTTGACAAAACTAATACGTAGGCGTTCGTCTACGGCGGCATTCAAGAGCGAAGGCACCATGCGTTCCGGAGGTTTACAGGTGTTTTTTACACTTTCGCCGATGTGGTTGCACATAATGTGCTGTTCCTAGGAACCGGTATTATGTGGCGAGGCACACAGCCAATTCTGACTACCGTGAGCAACTTACCCCGGTCTACATCTCAACCATCACCACGTAGACTATTCTGACTACGATGCCCAATACTTCAACGCGTCCATCGAGCAACGAGTGTCATAATTTTGCAGGGGGGGTTATATTTTCCCACTTTTCAAATATTCGTTGGATAAGGGGAGCTTCCTATATAACTGGCTAGGTCTCCCTTCCTTTTCTCCTCAGTCCCTCAAGCACTTGCGCTCGAGACTAAGGTTAGTAGTAGTCGCCACTCACGCCATATGCACTCCCCGCTAATAAAAGCACTTTCTGAAAAGTTGCAATGCGATTCTGGAGTGCCTTCGCCCCACTTGCTCTGCTTCCAATCGTCGCGGCTGATTTCTTCGTGGGCCAAATTGCTTGCACTCCACCACAGCCGCATCATGTTACGGACGAGACTTCATACGCTGGGCTTTTTTTCACGGAAGGGCAAATCAGTGAACCAAACCAAAAATGAAAATTGCCCTCATTCCTAACCCAAGTTTTCCCAACAGAGGATTGCGTTGCTATCGCGAACGCGATGGATCCGAACCTTCAATACGGTCCCACAGCAATAATGACCAGCTATGTTTGCCAAAGTGTGGTCACAGTGGATGTCGCAAACAATGCGTGGAGTTCCACCCAGTTAGGAGTCAGTGGAAGTTGCATACCCTACGTCCGGGTGGTAGACACATGCGTTGCAACGCAGGGCTTAAAGGCTGGCTATTCATGCACTTATAGTATGGAGATGATTTGCAGTGGTGGGCCCGTCTGCTAGTAGCACCAGGATCTGGTGGAGTAGCGACCCCATGCCCGAGGCTGGAGTCCTACCAAGTAGAAATTACAGTGTGCGCGAATACATCTACGTTCAGAAGCCGGGTCAATAGAAAGGGAGCGATCAAGGAAAAAGAGAGACAAGCAATGTGCCAACTCGTGCAAGCGCCAATTTGGTTCGTGGAGTAGAGAAATCATCGTCAAGGCTCGAAGGGCCTCTTCGCTCCCGCCGGGGTCCTCCAGCCCACACGAAAAAATTTCTCGTCATACACATACATTTCCAATAAGGACCTCCCCCGAGAACAAAAGAAGGGGAATTCTTTGCATCCCCTATTCGTGACACGCTCTTCCTCATTCTGACAAGAGGATAATTTGAAGCATGAGGGGTGAGGTGCGAAAGCTGTTCGACTGGATAACGCGTAACAAGGATGTGGCTTAGGAAATTTCAAACTAAGGCCGCGTGGCTGGCACAGCGTATTTATTGAGCCTCGCCTCAACTACCTTAGTAGCTCAACGCAAGAGTGAGTTGGGCTAAAAGAACTATCCACCCAGTAGATTTTTGCGCCAAGCGGTATAGAGAAAGCTAAGGAGTGTTCCCATAGTGTTGAATCCCCAGCTGAACTACTACGGGTGTCATGTACGACTGAAGCAAATTTAGATCGGTAGAAACAGAGGAAGGGTACTCGGACAGTGTTCGAGGGTCCCACCAAGGTTTTATCAACGCCGCAGTTACACGTACAGAGAATGGCGTGTAAATATCAAAAGCTCGCATATGGGCCGGCCAGTCGAAGCGACGGCTAGCTGTACAGCGTACGCAGAGATGGTGGATGCCTAGTTGACCCCCCCCCCCCCATCCGAGCCAGTTAGTGTCTCAGACCGCGTAAGAGATTTTTCCGTCACAACTCGGACACCGCAAGTGCTTGGAATGGATATCAAATGCCTTCTGCAAGTCAGTAAAGTGGCGGAATAGAAATATTGTATGTTCCTAGGTACGAGAAAACGTGAATGCCCTGATCCGAGAGCGATCAAGACAAGAGTGGAACCGCACATCAGTACACAACTCCTAACCATCTCGCTACACAGGTACAGGGGTCACTGAGCGGCAGAAAAGGTTCGGGGCTCAAGATGTAAAATCTGTATGATTGCATTGAATATATACTGTCGGAGAGGCGTTTGCGAAAAGGGGAAAATCGAGGCTGGCCTAAAACTCGAGCAAGGTAATCGTCAAGCCAAACGAATACTTGTGCTTAGGTCTGGTGAGAGAGATAGGAGAGGCGTACTGGTATGCAAAACGACAGCTGCGGTTGAGACATGCAAGACGGAGGGATTTAGCAGTGCCGCCGTATATACTACTATGCATGCAGCCTTGTTGAAATCTTACCAAATTATGGAACTAGATCGATCACACACGATGGGAGACTCGAGCGAGAAGCTAAAGGCTAATGAATATCATGATGATCAAAGTAATAAACATCTCACGCCACAAGACCCTGAATTGTTAATCACCTAATTGACTTGGGATTCGGTCGAGGTAGCACACGGCGCTGTCTTACCTGCTGTTTGCATCCTTGGAGACGGTCCAGCAGGTTCAGTTGGTTGGAGCGAAATGACATTAGGGTGCTACAGATGGAAATTGACGAGTTGGGAGCTTCGAGAGAAGCATCCCAAATTTGACCTCGCATAAAGTTGACACTGAAAGAGTACTTACGACAGCTGTGGATCGAGACTGGAAACACGACCGTTCGGTTGTTGACAGACCGACAATACGATACCCAATTATCATGCAGGGACAGTTCGTTCCTGAGGCGCGGCGAAAGGAGATGAGTTATTTTTGTTTTCCGTGTGGGGAGAGCGATAGTCAGATATTAAGCGCTGGGATGACGTCGTTTAGAGGTTGAGCACCAGAGAATTCAATCGGAAGCTTCCATTACCCTTGGCATATTCAATCCATTGCTGAGTTTTCACGTGCGATCTCATGGTACTTCTAATATTTTCAAAGCTAATCAGGGCTAACAACTGCTGGTAGTGGGCAACGGCCACAAAGGGCCCATGTGAAATTAGCCGCATGCGCGCGACGCGTGACCCGCGTTCTCGTACATACAAAGGGAAAGCAGGAAAATTACTAGAACTGATGACAGCCACAATTGAGAGCGCTAACAACTAAAACAGCAAACAGAAGCTAATGTACAGAGATGAAATACAATGAAGAAAAAGAGTAACAGACAATGTGAAAAAGTTCGAAAAGAAGAGACGGCAAAGGAGGAGTATCGGGGAGGAGGAGGGAGACAAAAAAGAAGCTAGGGGCTGGAGCAGATGGGAATGTAGTCGAGAATCGCTGTATTGGCAGCAGCAAATCCGGGATAGAGTAATATGCAGGTGGCAGCAGTGGCAGCAGGTCAAAAGCGTGAGCCCGGAAAAGCAAGCGGCAAATTGGATCTCACTCACCAGGGGAGCGCGAGATACCAGGCGATAGGGAGAGGGAAAAGGGGATCCATCAGGGCCCCTTTATAGGCATGACTAGGTAGTATGAAACCTCTCCTCAACAGCGAAAGTTCAGTACGTACCTCCACTGAATGGTCCGCTTCATGCATCTGCACCGAAAACATTCAGCATATGACTGAGGCAGCATGATTTGACCCATTCAGGCTAAGTTGTGCAATAAATCATGAGAAAACCACAACTGGTGAGGGAAGGCATGTGAATGCCAAAGCAGTCGTGACTGGGTGCAGCCAGGTTTCCCAGCCAGTGGCAAACAGGGTGTAAGGAGTGGTAACCCCACCCTTCATTCATTATCTTATTGTATATTTGTCTCGATTTAAACATGTATAAACAATGTATATACAATAACGTGGGAATTTGGGAAAAGGAATGGAACTCCTTTTCCTCCCCATCGTTGATAATTAAAGCTCCATACAGCTCAACTTTATTGATGATGTTGTGGGGACAACTCCGTGTACCGCAAAAAGTTGGATTCTGCAGAATTTGGTCACTAACATGCAGTACATATCCGCTGACACTCCCGATACTCATTATATCACTATCCAACACTCCATACACTCACTCCATATTTTTCCATATTTTCCCCATCATTCCCGACAGCCCCAAGCCAAATTCCCACGCCCAACCACGCCGCCAATTTCACCCCCTCTCCAGATCTCCATAACCACACATACAACCCAGCCATTTTTCTACCCGTTGGTGATGCTATACCTTCCTCCTTTACCCCCGGAGCACTTCCCAGAATGGCAACCCCATATTCGGATGGCTCAGCATGGTGTATAGCCTCACGTGGTCTTGACAGCACCTGTCAATGGCCACATCTCAAGAAGTACTGCACCAATTGGGATGAATGAGGGCTCGTTGGAAAGCTGGAGACCAGGAGGTTGCTGACGGGAGGATAGGCGGGCGCTGCGGCGAAGTGTTGCGGAGTTAACCTTCACCATTCCTATTTCAGACCCATTGTCACATTTTCCCCATTCATTCATATTTCTTTTATTGTTTCTTTGTTCCCAATTGGATATTTATCATTTACGGTTGCCTAACGGCCCGTTTACATTCCCCCACTCCATTCATTCCATTTCCAACTCATATAAACTAGATAATAGCTTGTACATAACAAGTTAGTACTGAATAGACCCGTGAAGGGACAAGCAGAAGTTATGTACATCCAAGTGGCAAAGACGCCATCCACGACCCTAACGCCCCCTCTGAGCTAGCTTCTCACATCTAAGACCCCTCACATCATAATACTTAGCCTTGACGTCCAAGAGAGACGTAGGTGAGTGTTTGTTTGAGGTTTTTGCAGACTCGGTAGCGCCCCTGGACCAAAACCTGGCCCCACGAACCACACCCATGCACACTACCACCCTCCCCCTTCTCTCTGTCTCGAGTCTAGGCGATAGACCCGTTACAATGACCTGAGGATTGAGGAGAACTGGGGTTGGAACCTACACCAACCCCTTACACAGGGGCGGAAACCTGAGGTCAGCTGGGGGCAGACTGCTAACCCATGATTAGTCTCATGAAATGAAGACATTAAACAACAATAAGATAGATGACTTTCAAATCCTGGTACTATCTGGAATTATCCAAATGTGGCAGTGCAGGGTCACAAGCAGCAAATATTTCTGGTCATTGCAAGGTCACGTGGAAAATATTTAGCTGGTTATGTAATTAGGCAGAGTTGGCTGTCTCTTTCAAAATTACTTATGTACTTATACATGTCCTTTGGCTGAGAATTCTTGATAAACCTCATGTACTGCTTCAGGTGGCAGTCCGTGATGCCCTTTGTATTTCTTTACTGCCCAGGCAGTCTCATGACCATTCAACCCTTGGCGATAACCATCCATGTATCACAATGAGTGATTTGAAAACCTGAGAATTAATGTTATCTGGAAAGTATGAAAAAATAAAAGGTTTCCTTACTTGTGCATTGATGTGATTGATACAGATTCCAGTGCTTTCTGTAAATTTAGTTCGACATCTTTGACTCTTGAAGAAGGTGGCAACTCACAATAAACACGCTTTGAATACCCCCACACTTGCTCAATAAAATTAAGCTTGCAATGGAATTTTGGAAGAAATAGGATGCCAAACCCAGCAGCTTCACAGTGTGTCTGAAGCAGGGATTTGACATTAATGAAATCAGCAGAATGAAAAAGGATATTTCAGCAGCAACATTGTGCTGCCATGTGTCAGAACATGGCAAGGAGGGAGCAAGTGTGTCTGGACCTTTCCCCAGAAGGGAGGCCAGAGGTAGAGGACGAGTGGAAGGACTGTGGCCTCAGTGACTCGGAGGGGAGCACTGTGCCTACGTTCGGTAACACTTAGTGTTGGGTCCTTAACTTCAGAACGAGGGGGCGCAAACTCTGGGGGAATAGTTGTTATTGTCAATTTTGCACTGAGGTGCCATCAACTACAGTACAAGACTTATATACATAATACAAGACAAATAGGAACAAAGGGAAAACCCAAGATGGACTTACCCACTTGCCAGGTTGGCAAACTCATGAGAGAATTGCCTTATCAAGCACTGTGGAGTGGGTAGATGAAGGTGGAATTAGTGACAGCTATTGGAAAGTGGGAAAACCTTTGCAGGGTTGGCGGAGGTCCTAGTGTCAGGGACGCGTCTGGGGTGGAGGGGGCCCAGCTGTAGCGCCCGGCGGAGGGACCCTCTCGGGGGACGAAGCGGGCACGCGTACTGACGGGCCCGATCTGGGACTGTAGTCCCTGGCCACTTAGACTGAAGTGGAAAACGTGAATTGTTATTAAAAGGAAGAACTACACTACTTACCTGAAGTGGAAAACGTGAGAAGAAGGTTACTTCTTCAGTTCCCACTTCAGGTACATTTATGTACATGCGGCTTGGGTCACATGACGGGTGCCATGTCATCTACGGAGAGGGCCGCAGCCATCCGGGTATCCCCGCGGGGGATCCCAAGGGCGTCCACGCATGCTGGGCGTAGCGGGAAGTTGCCCGGGGTGTCCGAGCCGGACGGGTCAACAGTACAATGATACAAGGGAAGGTGGTCCGTGTAAATAGAAAGAATAAACAGAAAGGGAGAGTGAAATAAAGGAGAAAGAGGAAAGAGGGAAGAGGGAGGAAAGGGGAAGAGGGAGGAAAGGGGAAGAGGGAGGAAAGGGGAAGAGGGAGGAAAGGGGAAGAGGGAGGAAAGGGGAAGAGGGAGGAAAGGGGAAGAGGGAGGAAAGGGGAAGAGGGAGGAAAGGGGAAGAGGGAGGAAAGGGGAAGAGGGAGGAAAGGGGAAGAGGGAGGAAAGGGGAAGAGGGAGGAAAGGGGAAGAGGGAGGAAAGGGGAAGAGGGAGGAAAGGGGAAGAGGGAGGAAGGATGGGTAGCGGGTGAGCGGGTGAGCGGGTGAGCGGGTGAGGTGGGCCCAGGTGGGCCCGGGTGGAACCGGGTCAGGCGGGTGTGCCCTGACATCACCCCCTCCTTAAGCCGCTTCGCCTTGAAGCGGCCAGATGGTTCTCTCTTTCTCTCCCTGGGGCTTGGGGGTGCGTCCTGTGGAATTCCTCGATCCAGTCGGGGGCATGGGCTAAGTGGTCCCGTTGGAGCCATTGGTTCTCTGAGCTTGGCCAACCAACGAACTTTACCAGATACCAGAGTTTCCGGCGTAGCCACTTAGAGTCCAATACCTTCTCGACCTCGTACTCTTCTTCTCCGTCTACAAGTTCCGGACCTGGGCGGGGGTCAGTGGGTCGTTCTGGGATATCGTCCGGGCGGTGTGGTCTGACGTTCGTTACGGATACAACCGGGTGGATTCCTTTCTGGCGTGCGGTGAATTGGAGTTTGACGGCAGCAGGGGAGACGACTTTGACGATTTTGAAGGGGCCGAGCCATTTGTGGTCCGACTTTTTGGTTGGGCGGTCAGTTGTGTAGTTTTGCGCACTGAGCCAGACTCGGTCGCCTTCTTGGTACTTTGGGGCTGTTTCGCGGTCTTGGTCGTAGTAACGGGCCATCTCGTCCGCTGCGTGTTCCAGTGCGGCCTTCGCCTCCTCTTGCATTTTCATCATTCTCGATGAGAACGTGTCAGCAGCTTCCACCTCGGACGTGCATGTGGGCTCTGTCCCCATCCTGGGGTGTTGGCTGGTGTCGAGTTCGAAAGGGGTTCGGTGGGTGGATGAGTGGATGCGGTTGTTGTAGGAGAATTCCGCCAGCGGAAGCCAATCGGCCCAGTCGTCTTGTCGGTGGTTGACGAACACCCGGAGATAAGCTTCGATCTCTTGGTTGACCCGCTCAGTCTGTCCGTCCATCTGGGGGTGGTAGGGCGTCGAAGGGGTCAGTTTGACGCCTAGAAGGTCCGTGAGCTCTTTCGAGAAGCGGGAGACGAAGGCGCTCCCTCTGTCGCTGAGGATCTCCTCTGGGAGCCTGTGGTGCTTCCAGACGTGCTCTAGAAAGAGCCGTGCGATACCCTCCGAGTCTACGGTCGTCACGGTGGGGACCGCGTGGATACGCTTGGACAGGCGGTCTACTACCACCAAGATGGCATTATAGCCTTTGGACTCTGGGAGCTCTCCCACCATATCTACTGAGATCACTTGCCAGCGGCGGGTGGGGACCTTGTTTGGGGTGAGCTTCCCAACTTTTCGTGAGGGGAAAGATTTGATGCGGTTGCAGGTGTCGCACCCGCGTACGTACCGCCCGACATACTCTGCCATCCGGGGCCACCAGTAGTCGCGGGAGACAAGTTCCAGGGTTTTCCATCGCCCTGGGTGTCCCGTTGCCCGCGCATCGTGGTGTAGCTGCACAAGATCATGGCGGAGTTGGGGGTCTTTAGGGACGTACACCCTCCCCCGGTACAGAACTAGTTCACCCTGCCTCTCCCATTCGTCCGACCTTAGCGTCCCTTCTCCCAGCTCTTGCATTGCCTTTACCACCTTCTCGTCGTGGTCCTTTGCTTTGCGTATCCGCTCTAGAATTCCTACCTCCTCTCCTTCTACCGAGATTCCCTCTGTTGCACGAGCCTCAAACCAGGCTGGTTGGAGGAGGGTTAGCCCTTCGTTGTTGTCCTTCCCTTTCGGGTGGTCAGCACGACGGGAGAGTGCGTCCGGTTTTCCCATGAGCTTCCCGGGATGGTGGACAAGGGTAAAGTGGAAGCGAGAGAGGAAGAGGGACCACCTAGCCTGGCGTCAATTCAGCCTCTGGGCCATCCG